GCAAAGTGTTTTCTATTAAATTTTGCAATACCTACTTTGGTCAACCACACAAAGATTGCATTTTTACAAAAAAAGTTTTAAAATGATTCCCATATTTATTTAACTTTTTTTTTATTGTACTGGTACTGTGTTTTTAGAAAGCATAGAATAGAATGTTGATAATGAGTACATTTGTATAACATTTTTTCTTTTCTACTAAATTGAAACCTGTTTGTTTCCATTTTCTCTTGTGAATTGTCAGAAAACAGATAAAACATGCAAAGTACCTGTTTCTGTTACTTTGTGGTGTGCCACATATTTTAAAAAAGAAAATATTTGAGATCTGGAATATGATGGAAGTGTTTCTACTTCACTCTCCACCAGTCGTGGGAGATGGCTGACCTGGTTCTGCCAGACGTTTCTTCCTGTTAAAAGGGAGTTTTTCCTTCGCTGTCACCGAGTGCCTTCTCATGCGGGTCAACTGATTGTTGGGACTTTGTCTCTAATATTGTAGGGTCTTTATCCTACATAAACCTGCTGTGTGTATATGTGTGTTGTTAATTAATGGTAAAACTCATTTTTCTTTTAGTCTGCCAAACTATTCAACTATGCCAAATGGGAGAAAACCTGCAAAACTCTCTTCGTTTTGTTTGCCATAATGTTTATGGTAACACGACTGATCATCTTTCCATTTTGGTAAGCCGATAAATAAGACTTAAGTTGTGTGTTTTTTTCCTTCAAATTAAGTCTAAAGTAACCAGTTTATTTGTCTTTGTTCATTCATACTCAAGCAGATTTCCTATAAATCTGTTATATTCAGTGTGTAACAGATTTTTACATTTTTGATGTGCTTGTGTTTCAGGCTGATCCACTGTACTTGGGTTTACCCTGTTCTCTATTACCCTGCCTTCTTTGGTTACTACTTCTTCAACACAATGCTGGTGGTCCTGCTTTGTCTGCACATTTTCTGGGCCTACCTCATTCTACGCATGATCAGGAAATTTATGTTTGGCACAGTAAGTCTGCTGTGACAGTATTTATCCACGTCTCTCTTTACACCCCACACTCCTAAAGAACACCCACAGGACACTCAGAGGGCCATAACATACATGTGGACTGGGTGGGCAACCTCGAATGTCCTTAGATGATAAAGAGCTGGCCCAATGTTCCCAAACCAGAATTAAAACATGTACCCTGCGTTCAAAGTTTGACTAATGAACAAACTCTGCGATGTTGCAGAGGCATGTCAACCAAGACAGCCCTACAACATCCAGAGCCTTCAAGAACTCAGGTAAAGGCCAGACCATCAAGTAGTTTTTAAGTGCCTTACTGACCTAGTTTCCCAGTGATGTAAGAAAGCTAATAAAAGGTGCAATTTTCATTGAAATACTCCAAACATACCACAAACATGGTTCAAAAGGTTAGTTAGTAACTCAAACCAACACACGCCCAGCAAAAATGGATCTTTTAAATAGCAGGTATGTGGTTCTTTGCATCCTATAAATGCAGATCACTCTTACGTGATAACTTTAAAATGCATCATTTCGTCCAAATATGTCACTACATTGTTGAAAAACCTGCATTGTGATGAGCAAAATGTTAATGTTCAGGCTTCAAAATGCTCAACAAAGCTTTGTGTTTTACATTGAAAGGAAGCCGAACTGCCACCCAGAGTTCTCTGCTGCAGCTCACATTTCAAATCTGCTTTCAAGTAGACATTTTGTCCTCTTTGGTGGCTTTTTTCTAAATACAGTCTCCTTTTCTGATCATCATGTTTTTCATTCTGTATTTTTACTGTAATCATTTCATTCAGCTAACCAAAGATGAAAGAAGTGACAATGACGAGGAAGACGGGGACGAAAGCAGCTCAACACAGGATGAAGTTGAACAACGGCACAAGCCTGGCGGGTCACTGGTGGCTGATAAGAAGTATGACAAGAACAGAGGGTCTAGATCCTTATCTCCACCAGAGAACATCTGCTGGTCAAAGACTGTGTGCTGACTCGTATTCACTCTCAGTACAGGAGAATAATCCTGAAATAGACTCAAATAAAGTCCAGCGAACCAAACATATCACATATACATGCATTAAGTAACAGCTCAACTGTTGCCCTCCACAGACAAGAAAGCTACACTTAACCATTGTTTTCAGATTTTGAAACTTAAACAGCTCTGACTATATGCAACAGAAGTTTGAAACATGCCTCATGTGAGCAAAACAGACCCTTACACAGAGCACCTCTGCAAAATCGTGCTGTAAATGTGTTTAAAGCTATTTTTAAACATAAAATCTGGAGAATATCAGAAGAATCAAGTTCCACAATTTTACCTTTCTTACATGCAGAATACATTAGGAATAGCCGAATAAAAACCAGTTTAGGATAGTGTTAAGACAGCATATCGAATGCAGGAGGCATAACAAAAACAGAAATCAGGGAAGAAGCAGGGAGCTGAAAAATTGAAGCTTCAGAGCTGTAATTATGTCTGAAAACAACTTCAACATGAACACATGACCAGGTTTAGATGTTTTTCAGATTTAAGTTCATTACTTTCCCTTCTTAAATGTATCTATTACAATCCAGTTTTCTATTAAATTTTGCAATACCTACTTTGGTCAACCACACAAAAATTTTTACAATAAAGGTTTTAAAATGATTCCCATATTTATTTAACTTTAATTTAACTGTGTTTTTAGAAAGAATAGAATGTCGATAATGAGTACATTTGTATAACATTTTTTCTTTTCTACTAAAATGAAACCTGTTTGTTTCCAAAGTGAAAAAACAACAAAGAAACAAACCACTCCCACTAACACTTGGAATAATGGTTAAACTTGGGTTGATAACTGCAGTAACTGTCACTGACCAAATAATCTTCGACAACTGTCAACTTCGAATCCTAGCATGTTAGGTATTCATTCGAAACACAGAGAAATCCCACAGTCACCTGATTATGGTCATAACAACATTTCAGTGTGAGTTTACAGGATGAGCTGTAGGGAAAAGTAGCATCCTTGTTGCCTCTAAGATGTCGTGGTCTTCCTGGAAACACAAGCAGCAAGTTCACTCTGAAAGAGGCAAGTTGGAGAAAAGCAGATGAGTTTTGAAGCATGTGTGCATTAGTAACTCAGGGGAACTGAAATAGTTTGTGTAGGGACTCATTTTTTACTTCTTTAATTTTATTTGTTGTCTGTCTTTTTTTTAATCATCTGGTTCTTATTCAGCGTGACAGTAAGACAACAACGCCACCATGAGGCCAGAGAGAAGCATCGTGTTACTTGTTGCTGTTTCTCCAGTGACTAAAAAAATAAAGTGTTATAGGTTTTAGACAGCTAAATGAAAAAGCTTTTTTTTTTAAATTTATATGGTCAAAACCCAGTTATGAGGAATTGTCATTGTCACTAGGGATGCACCGATACCACTTTTTTGGAAACGAGTACGAGTAC